TTTTGCTTCTGCTTCTTCTTCTTCTTCTTCTTGTTCTTTTCCTTCATCAGCACTCACCAACCGCTCGGTGGTTTCTCTCTTTCTCTTCTCCTTTCGTTGGTCACCCTTTCGTTGACTGCTATCCATCCGTCGTCGTCGTCGTCCGTCGTCTGCTGTCTAAGACTCCGTTGGCGGACAGTGAATTACGTCCATTGACTGGACGTGGCCGGGCAGACGGCCTGGGCCCGACCATATACAGACTAGATTCACTTCACCGCCGTCGTCGTCGTCCTGCTCTCACTCCTCTCTCTCTCTCTCTCTCTCTCTTTCTCTCTCTCTTTATTTCTCTTTCTCTTACACTCACACTCACCACGTGAGTCTTTTTCTACATCCAAGTTGGTCGTTCGTACTACACGACGACTACGGACTACGACGATGACGATGACGACGATGGTTCACGACGACACGACTACTACGCACAATCTCAAACGCGAAACGAATGAAAATAATCAAAGGTCTCGTTATATACCTATATATACATATATATATATGTATGTATATGTATATACAGACGTTTTATATAGGTATTACTATCCGCTCGTTGCATTTACTTTTACTTTCGCATCATCGTATTTATAATACCGATCGTCGTTTATCCAAGTAGAAGAATCCCCCCTTGCTCTTGCCTCTGCCCCTCCCTACTGTACCCCACCTCACCCCACTCCACCTCTCTTAGGGTACCAACGGCGACGTCCCGGGGAGTTATGCAGGTTCGTTGAAAGGAAAAATAATCGGAGAATCACACAGACTCGAAGGTAGATATATCGTCCTGAAAGATACGACCGCTCTCGTGTAATGCTCCTGGCACTGATCGATGCACCGTGATATATAACGCACGTCGTCTCGCCGAAGCTCTCTTAATGGGATCCGCACAGGCGGAAATCCAAAGCGGACCGATAAATTACAGCATTAACGAATCTTGGCCACGATCGCAGCAGCAGCCACCGATCGGCGGCGGATTTTCGATTTTTGTTACTCGGATTGATAATCCCCTTTTTACCACCGGTGGTGTACTCTTTTCTTATCTTTATTTTCTTTTTTTTTTTTCTTTTTTTTTTCTTTAACTTTATCCTTTTTTCTTCCTGATTAGCAATTATTTTTATTCGAACCTTTTTTTATATATATATATATTTTTTTCATCGTTGTTGTTGTTGTTGTTGTTGTTGTTGTTGTTCCCTTCTTCAAACGGCAACGGCATGATTTTTATTGAACGACGCAAAGGAAAAGAATGTTACACGAACTCGAGATATTGGGTTGTCTAAGGTGGGGGGGGGGAGAGAGAAGGGGAAGGGAGGGGATTGAATTAGATCGCACGATCTTGCGGTCTGTAGCCATTTCAACAACATCACGACAGGTGGTAAACATCGAAATAGTCAATGATGTGTTTGGTGGTTGCTACCAATTGCCAAAGAATGGTTCGAAGCGAATGCAAGGTCAGTTATGGCCGGATGCAGGCGGCCTAACATCCCAGCAGGAACTTTTTTAGTCATTCGCAGGAGCATCAACAGCAACAGCAGCAAGGAAGGATCCCACCATTCAGAAGGAATCATTCCAAGTTCAACCACTCATATGAAATTTTTCAACCCCCCTCCCCTACTCCCCGGAAATGTCAGTTAATGAAAAGTAAAAGAGAGAAAAAAGAGAAAACGGTAGGATATTAAGAAGATAAAAATGAGTAGTGCTGTGTGATATCAATTAGCATATCTCTTGGACGACGAGATGGTAGGTAAAAAGGGGAAGGAGGATGGTAAGGAGGAAGAGAGTTGAGGGGTGGAATAGGAGGAGGAGGAGGAGGAGGAGAAGGGTGAGAAGGAGAAGGAAATGGAGGGTGAGGATAGGTAGGAAGGAAGTTTAAGGGGGAGATAGTGGGGGTAGTTTCTCTGTCAGCAAACGTAAGGGTGTGCGCTGTAAGGAGAACGCGTAGAGTATCCATTAGCCCCTGTGGTGGGTGGTTGGGTGGTGGGTCCGGTACCGAAGGTATCGTCACGTGCCCAGGGGGCGGTACCGCTTTGTCGGGACTGCTGTACGGTATAAAAGAGAGACGTACCCGCGATGCATCCACCAATTACGCTTGCACCTTGCCGACGGCCAACGTGGACTCGGGAAAATCTTCCGCGTGCGTTTTTATATCCTACGAGAAGACACCTTCTTTTTCTTCTTCTTCTTCTTCTTCTGCTTCTTAGTCTTTTCTTCTTTTTTCCCCAAACTTTACTTCCATTATTATTATTATTATTATTATTACACATCTTCGTTTTTGCGTTTATTATTTCACTCTTATTTCGATTTTGTTCGATCTCATCCATCTTGGAAAGATTAAAAGGCAAGTACCTGGATATGAATTAGTCTTCTTTCGATAATTCAAAGGATGGTCGAAAGTATTTATATATATACGTCACAGTAAATCTCTTCCTTAACCCGATCATTCCCTGACGCATGATCATTATTATAGAGTCATATATAGATATCGAATATATATAAGATCATTTGCAATTAGTTTAAAATCGCATGTATGAAAGAGGGAAGACGGAGAAAGGGAATATATATGTATATATATACTATCGCGTATAAGAGTTTTTATGCAAAAATATTTCAAAGATCAAAGATCGAATCGATTATCGAGTATATACGTCATAATCGAGATGAGATGAGAAGGGAGGGGGGAATGAGTTGAAGAAAAGATAAAAGGAAGAAGGAAGAGGAGGAAGTCTCGAGCAAAGTGTAAAAGCGCAATCCTGTAAGAAGGTAGAAAAGGCAGGCAGCAAACAGGCAACAAGGAGGCAGGCAAGAAGGGAAGCAAGGGTAGAAAGGAAAGAAAGAAGGAAGATAGGAAGGAAGAAAGAAAGAAAGGAAGGAAGGAAGGAAAGGAAGAAGAAGAAGAAGAAGTAGAAAAAAAAGAAAAAGAGGTGGAGGAGGAAGAGAAAGAAGAAGAAGACGAAGACGAAGGAGAAGAAGAAGAAGAAGAAGAAGAAGAAGAAGAAGAAGGGAAAGTAGTGAGGAATAGGAGGGGAGAGAGGCATGCAGACTGGAGGCCGGCACACGGGCAGATAGTCTCGGTGCTGCCGCCGCCACCGCTGCCGCCGTGCTCGAAGAAGGGAAGTGGGGACACATAACAGAGAGCGCGCGGCCGCGTGTGCAGGCCGCTTTTGCAGAGCTTCGCTTGGCACACGGCGAAACGTTCCGCCTCGTGCTGCTGCTGCTGCTGCTGCTACTGCTGCTGTTACTGCTGCTGTTTTACTGCTGATACTACTGCTATTGCTGTTGTTGCTGTTGTTTGCTGTTATTGTTATTACTGTTGCTGCTGCTGCTGTTGTCATTATTACTGTTGCAACTACTGCTACAACAACAACTACTACTACTACTATTGCTGGTGGTGTTCCTGTTGAAACTGCCGTCGTCATCGTCGTCGTCGTCGTCATTGTCGTCGTTTCGTTCTTCCTTTTTCTCACATCAGTTTTACCGGCCGATTTCGTGCGTGCGTGCGTGCATGCGTGCGTGCGTGCGTGCGTGCGCGCGTTAGCTCGCTTATTCCCGAATATCATCGCAACCAGAACATATATCTCACAAATTGCATCGTCGAACTTTGACGCGCGCGCGCGCGCACTAATTTCGCGCGCTTGCTATTCCGTTAGGAAGAGAGAAAGAGAGAGAGAGAGAGAGAGAGAGAGGAAAAGAGGGTTTTTTGTTTTTTTGTTAAAAAAGAAGAAAGTAACGAAAGAGAAAAATAGTGTTATTGTTTTTCTCGTCAAATCTTATTCCTTACGTCAAAAAGAAAAAATCGTAAGGTATTTGAAAAAGAAGAAGAGGAGAAAGAGGAAAATAATTGTTTAGGATCGGTGTGAGAAGAGAAGAGAAGAGAAGAGAAGAGAAGAGAAGAGAAGAAGAGACCAATAATAAAAAAAAAAAACCAAACGGAAAAGAGAAAAAGAAAGAGAGAGAGAGAAAGAAGAAGGAGGGACCGGTGATGTGTTGCACGTCACGTGCTCCACGTGTCGGCACAGTGATGAATCCTCCTCAAGCACCAAGAAGAAAATATTCTTCCTCTTCTTTCGTTATATGGCGTGCTTTAATCGATAAAGAAAGTATTATTTTCATATAATCACGGAATATACTTGAAGAAAGGGAAGAAGAAACGTTAGAAATCGAAGAGAGAGAGAGAGAGAGAAAGATATATACATATATATCAATCGTTTTTCTCTTCCCCCATGTGCCACCGATCTTGCGATGCTCGTCCATCCATCAACATATTCACCGGAATTTCCTCCTTTCGTATTAAAAATCTGCTGTTCCGTCTTCCGCTCTTGTCTATGCGAGAAAAGGATGTCGAGGACGACGACGTTATTACGAGAAAACTCGACGAGGATGATAGTGACGCCGCTCGGTCAGCGACGGGAATGAATGAATGAATGAATAATAATAGTAATAATAATAATAATTATTATTATTATTATAATTATAATAATAATAATCGAATAAAATGTTTTTTCGATCAACACAGATCGGTTCGCACGAGTGTGAGATGTGACGCGAAAAAATACTATAGAGACTTTCCTATTGAAAGAGGGGAGAAGGGAGCGCTAGCTGATTTGTGTAAAAAAAAAAAAAAAAAAAAAAACGAGAAAAACTCGGGTTACGATTAAATCGTCACGTTTGTTGTGTTATTGGTGTCGATAGGCTGCAAACGTGAAAATCTACCAAGGAGAGAGGAAAAAAAAGAGGGAAAAATAAAAGGCGGATGGTAAATAAGTAGAGAAGAGGCAGATGAGATGTGAAGTACGAGGACAACAGGAGGGTGCTGCTACCACCATTGCCACCGCCACC